CCAATACTTAATGTGTATAAACGTTTGTTGTTAGAGAATACGAAACAAACATTATTTGCGCTACGTTTAATTCTGTATTCAATTAATTTATACGTAGTTTAGCTATTTGCTGTGTACTTCGCTATCAGCTTCATTTGTTAATAGGGAAAAGAAACACGGTTTAAGCGAATGTAAAAGCTTTTGTTTTTGTTCATGGTAAAGGTTAACTAGAACTATATTTATGTTTTAATATATCATGAATTATGAAATCGACCAAGCTGTTTATTTTTTATACTCGCTCAAAAATGCCTCGAATTCGAAAATACAGAGGAACTGAAATCCAGCTGATGTTTCAATATCACGCACTAGTGCACTTAACGTACAATACATTTCGCGGTAACGTTCGTTAATATCGACCAACATGAATATTCTGATGACATATTCCGCACGCGAATTTCTAAGATTTCAATCGATTACGTCACCTACGAGCGCTATAAATTAAGCTCTTAAATGCAATCGGCTGACAGCTTCGAGATAAGTGTTATCAACTAATCACGTAGATTTTATTCAGTTTCAAATAATATATCGCTGTAATTATGTAATTGTCTGCAAAAGAAAAAATATCGGTAAAAGATACAACGGTTCAATAAATTTAGGAGTTCAATATCTTTTATTATTATTTCCGTTAATTGCTAATGTACATAAGCATAAACGTATTTATATTATCATATTACTTATATCTGTAACAATTTTATTCGGTTGTAGATGAAATTAATCTTTAGAGACCGGAAAAAAGGGGATTTACTTTTAAACTTTTAATCTTTCCTTTTGAATAAGATTTATTATATTTTATTATACTTTGTCCTTGCCTTAAAATGACACTATTTCAGTGCCACTATAATGACTTCTCGCCCTATAAAGGTCAATTTAAAAATTTATAAAAACACAATAATTATAGATAGATTAATTATATTTGAGTAAACCACACTTTTATTTCACAAATTATATCCTTCATGTACGAGTATTTGCTTTCAATGTATTTGCGAGTAGAAATGAAAAATAAAATCCAGCCTGGCATCTAACACGAGGGATGCTTTAAAATGAACAGGGAAAATGCGCGTAGTCGATTCGAAGATCCTCAAAGGACGAAGCCTGCCACGATCGCGCGTGCTCTACCCGAGAGATTCCACCGATCTCTGACAGAAAGATTTAACACCGTATCACCTCGGAGCGTATCCATTCACTGCGCTTGGTGCATACCTATGAGGGCAACCCGTTCGTTCGTCGCGTTCCTTCTCGCAACGAATTCTTCCCGCTTTTACACGCGCAAGCGAGCACAGAGTGACGGAGGCGGATCGCGTCCTCATCCTTCGTATGTCACTAGATCAGGTGTCTCTTAAGCACGAGTACTTTCATCTCTCGTTGCCACACCCTCGCTTTTTCGTGACGACAAGCGCATCGACCGGAAAGCTGAGTCCTCGTATTCGTAGATAAACAAGCAATACACAGGGATTACGTGATTTTATTTGATGCCGTAGAATTTACCTAAAATTCAACAGACTTTCACGATTTAAAATTTTATCTGATGTTCATGTTTCATCTTATACCTTTTTATTATATATGTAAAAATGAAATTTATCGTAGTGTACTTATACTCATAATATTGCACAAAAAAGACGATTTTCTTAAAGTACCTAAAAATTTAGCTAGATATAGATCCGAAAATGATTTTGTTGAACAACCAAATAATTATTTTGATCCAACAAAATTATTTTTAGATCTGTATCTGAATTTTTAGATACTTCAACAAAATCGTTGTTTCTGTGTAAAAATTAGAAAAGTGTTATAAATAATAGTCTATTTGACATTTTGTTTAAGGAAAAGTCTTTAAACTATCCGAAAAAGTTACGATTATAAAAGATATCAGATCTTTTCAAAACATACTCTGCAAATTAAAGTTAAATTAGAAACTTTTGTGCAAAGACGTATATCTTTAGCTAAGAAAAAAAAATAGCAAATTCTTTTGAAACGAAACTTTCCTGCGCTACTTTTTCTGCCAGTACGCGACGCGAACGAAGAGATTCGGGGTCGTATATACTCTGCTATAAATCAAGATTTCAATTCGTCGCCTGCCGGATCGAACTTATGTGCATCGATAGCGCCTCGCTTCTCTTGTCACGCTTGGCTTTCACGACGTGGAGACTTCGGGAATTTACTATCGAAGTATGCCATCTACGATACGTTTGTTGTCACGATCGATTCCTGCTAGAGGAAGAAACAGAGAATGCTCGTATAATAATGTCCGTTGAATGCAAGAAAATTTGCGTGGAAAGATTAAATGCGTACATGTGCATGCAAAGGGATAAAGAGCGTGATAAAATGAATTGTTTGAAAAGTTCAAGAAAAAATAAAGAATTTTTGTGGGAAATTATGCGATAAGCAACACGCAGATTATGCACATTAAAACGTATTTTTCGTAATAATATGCTATTCCTTTCGGATCGTGATTCCATTTTATTAAATGTTTAAAAGATCTTCTTTACTTTCTAAATTACAATGCTGCGTGAGGTTAATCTATAGACAAATGCCGTATAACGTTCCAAATCAGAGCTTCGAGAAATGAATATGATTCGTTAGTCTCCGACGTTTGTGAAATATCCAAGGAGAGATCACCGAGAATTACGGCGGAATAGAAGGATCTACGATCCTTCGTTTGCGGAATGTTTGAAGTACCCGATTTAAAGCCGCGGCATTAAATCATTCTCATGAATGAGAAAGATTTGCAACGCATTCGAGCGGTTTTCCGGGGAACGTTTAATTCGTTACGTATGATTCAGTTGAATAAACATTAGTT